CTTCTGGCTGCGGGCTTCGTTGGTCAGCAGAAAGGGGGCAGATCCTGAGTTCGAGATCTGACAAACAATAGGGACAATACACCACCTCCATACTATTCTAGCCGGCTTGCTGCAACGTCAGCCAGGAATTGGCAACCGGTGGCCTCCACGATGTTGCTGAACAGCCGATTCCATCATCCCCCACCATCAGCTATATCAACTCTTACAGTCCAACGACAGCTGAAGTGCTACGAGTCGCCTAGTGCGGATGTGGTTTTTGCAGCTGACCTTATTATAACTGGTATTGTTAATAGCGGAAGGGCTGGAGATATGATGTTTTCTCCTTGTCAGGGATGAGAAAAGTTACTTTTTTGTTCAGGTTGCAGTTGAAGCTCCAAAAGGCATTTTTTCCCCTTCTGCCTGGGCTCGGGAATGTAACAAAGCGCTGATCTGCAGGGGATGCAATTCCCAGAATCTGTGTGGACCGGTCCAGCCATCAGCCGGGGGGGGGGATTCTAGGAGGCTGGCCAGTTGGCTCCTTCCTTCCTGAAAAGGAACATTTCTGAATTCTGCTCCTATGAAAAAAGAAAGTGGTGACCTTTGATCTGTGGCTTCTGCCAGTTTTTCTTTCTTTCTTTTTTCACAGCTGGGCTGGGGGGGGGGAGAGAAAGGAATCTTGCTGGAGGCAGTGCGAAGATGGCTAGGTGCCAGAGAGCAGATGGGGCTCCGATCCAGCTGGGATTCTGCACCAGGGCCATTTTCAGCCAAGGCGGAGGGCTAAAGAGAGGGAAGCCACACCTGTGGGGAACCCCCTTTCCTGATCCCTCTCCTGGTGCTTTTGCGTCAGGCAAATCTCCGGAGGCTGAGGCCGCTGGAGCCCTTCCTGGCTGCTTCCTGCTTTGAAGGCCGAGCGCCTCCCTGCTTTTTTTAAAAATCAAGGCAGTTGGAAGCCAGCAGAGCCCTGCCCTCCCTTGACTTGGAGGTCGGAGAAAGCCACCTAGGCTGTCTTTACAGTGCTTCCGTTTGCAAGAGGAAAAGGAATACTCTATGTATTCTTGTATGAACTTTTCACATCAAGAACTGAATCTTTCCTTTCCCGTCTTTGTTATTTTCTTTGCTCTAGGATCTTAGGTTAAACATTCTCCAGGTTAAAGAGGCTGGATCTGTTTGCCAGGTGGAGGCTCTCTATAAGGAGTCCCAAAGCACTGCTTTGGTTCAACAAAGATTGTTCACCCATGGCAGTGTTCACACCATGGGAGGTTGTGGTAAAGTCCTCGCAAGCTTAGGGCTATAGCTCAGCTGTGGACCCAGGCCTGACATCCCCCAAGGCTGCTGGGTTCAAAGATGTCTTCAAGGAAGGTGGACTGAACAGGGGTCGGAGAGCAGAAGGAGGCTGGCCATGGGCTCGTCCCTTGTTAGAAAGAGGAGCGTAAGAGGAGACCAGTTTGCAAAACGTTGCATGCACTGAAGTGAATGCACAGATGCCAAATCAGGAACACTTTTGATCCTTTAAGGAGGATAACAGCTCATCTCACCTGCTTATGGAAAAAACCAGATCCCTTCCCGAATTTATGGTCTAGAGGTTGACGGCAGATGAGAAGCATCAGGATCAGATCCTATCAAACTGCAGAGTCTCATTGAGATACACATTTCCAATTCTCTGGGTCTTGGCCTGGAAACCAAACCCTTGCAATTCACTGAAATTTCTTGCTAAGCAAGAGTTGATGGTGTCTCGAAATAGTTGTCTTTTGAGCATCGTGATGGAAGGGTTTTGAGACAGGTACACTACGTACTCCTGCTCCCTATACTTTGGTCGGCTGTTGCTTGCACAGACAGGCTGTGTCTCTCTGAAAACGGGCCAGGACTTCAAAATGTTACATTTTTGGTTGAGATCCAGCTTGTAATAAAATAATTGAGAGGGAGACGAGAGGGAACTTGAGAAGCAACAAGTCAATGAGGCTGCTTGGAGAAGGAGACTGGTTGCTGGCTTCTTAAGATCCCGTTCAAGAAGAAGATTTCCCCCAGTCCTACCACTGCGAGACAGAGCCAGACTGAGAGGCTTCATAAGAAGAGTCATCTTGCGGGTGGTTGTCTTACTGAGTATCTGTTCCCTTTTCCAAGCACGTTTTATCTGTTCGGTACAGAGCCAGACAAGAAGGGAGTGAAAGAATCTTATCTGGGTTGCATCATGGCAACTTTCTCCTCTTGAGAAACATCACTCAGAACCCAGTTGCCAGCTTTCCAGCTGTCTTTCATGACAGCTGCCTTGTTGTAGAGGCACTTTGTCACTCTCGCCCAGCCGGATCGGCAGCTTTTCCCAAAGTTTCGCCCAGTCTGGAACATTTGCGAGGGCCACGCCTGATTTGTTCACGCCAAAGAAGCGAAGAGGAAACGGATTGGCTGGGCAAGAGGAATGACCAAGGGTGGAGGCTCTGCTGACCTGGAAGGTCACGCTGAACGGGAGATGCTAGGTATGGATTGCAAAACTTGGGGTGGAGGGCAGAGATGTGCGGCTTTCATATGCTGGTGATTCAAGAGACTAGGCGGAAAATTAGTGCTGGATTCCAACGGCTGTGGATGAGAGATGGGCGCAAATTTAAAAAATGAATCAACCAATTCATTCAAAAATTTGCTAATTTATCAATTTGTGTTCATACAAATCAGTGCCCTCAACAAATATGAATCAACAGATTTTTGTTGATTTTTTATTTGACAATTCGTTTGGCTATAAAATGCTCCCCCAACACCTAACCAGCTGCTAAAGGGCTCTTTCCTGGGGGGGGACCCACTTTGTAGGTGTATAACTTGGATTTCTGAAACCCAGTCTTCACCAACTTGGAGGGATTGTAGAGGAGAATCAGGGGAAGCTTCCTGGTGAATTTGGTGACTCTAAGCATTTTTGGGGGTGCATTTTATGGGGTTTTAAAGTTAAAAATGAATTGATGAATCGATTTGTTGATTCGTCAAAAAAATCATTATTTGTGGTTTGTCAACACTGGCGAATCACAAAGAACGAATCACTATTTTGCTGCTTCGTGCCCATTTGTACTGTGGATCTGGTGGACTTGATGTTTCAATGGAACCTCCCGGAGAGTAAAAAGTACGACCGATTGCAGGCTGAGCTCTTGTCTCAAAGCACAGATTCTTCATTTTAAGATGGACCCGTGGACCGTCTGTTCTGAAGGTTGCTCGTGGCATTCCCCTTGCCTGCTTTCTTCCCAAATGGACTTTTCTGGCCATCAGCAATGTTACCTTCCAGGAAAGGAGATTTGAGGGCCTTCAATCTGGATGAAGATAGCGATGGGGAGGATCCTTCTTGTCGATCTTCTTCCAAAAAACAGCTTCTGGTGGATGAGGCAGGGAGAGAAAAGATAAGGAAGGAAGATGGATGTGCATGGAGGAGAAGCAGAGAAGAAGGGAGCCTCAGCTGGCTGTTGATCTGCCTCTTGCTATGTAGACTGAGAAGAACAGAAGGCAGGTAAAATGAAGGGAGGGCCCCATCCTTTTTGATGCTTTGCCCAAGAGTGCAACGCTGATGTTGCTGAGCCAAGCATGCTCTGCTTTTTGCATGCCTCTCAGTTTGCCCCAAAGATTCCCCAGTGCTGGTTTCAGAGCAGACAGGTCCAGACAGCTGGGTGTTATCCCTCACATCTGTATGTGAGTCAAAATTTTAAAGCAACCCTGGCTTGTCATCTCCATCATTCTTTGCCATTTGCATTTGCTGTCAAGATGGATGGGAACTTCAGTTCATCAACACCCGGAGCAAAAGAAAGCAAAATGTGCTGTTTAAATACTGCCCCATAGTGCTTAAAGCACTCTCTGGCAGTTTACAGTTTAATCATGCAGGCAACACATTGCCCCCTCCAGCAAGCTGGGGTGCTCAGTGTATCAGCCTCAGAAGGATGGAAGACTGATTGAACCTCAAGCCGGCTACCAGGGACTGAACCCGGGTTGTGAGCAGAGTCTTGGACGCAGTACTGCAGTTTAATCACGACACCAGAAGGCTTCTCCTCTGGAGGGTCAAACTTGCAAGTTAACAGTTGTGTGTAAAGGGGAAAGAGGGAGGCCCGGCTTGTCAGGTCACCAGGCTATGAAGACGAGAGAGGCTGCCTCTAGCAACGTTCACTGAATGACAGCAACATTCAAGGTGCATGAAAAGTGCAGGAGCTCACCAGATGATGCGTTTGGTCACTCAGATGGGATGTCTGAGAGGTTGATTACTCATTCCTGAGCTATCTTGCTGCCACAGATAAGATGGAATGGCGTCATTTCCTGTTTTGAGGGCAGACACAGTAATCATAGGTAGCCTATAAAACAAAGAGGACGATTCTTAAGGGATGATTGTAAATGTTGTAGGAGCAGCTTCCCTTGTTGAATAGTTTTCGATTTCTAGTAAAATTCTCTTTCACTGCACAGCAGAAGCACAGAGATCTGCACAGGAGAATAGCTTCAAATTCCACCAAGTAGTCCACCCCCTTTTCCCTTGCCTAGCACTTAGAGTTGCAGAAGCCGGAATAGCAGCTTCCCATTACTTTCTATGGACGGTACAGAGCAGATACGGATTACAATGGTTTTCAATGCATTCCTATGGGAATGCAGATATTGACCTGCAAACTTTTTGACCTGCGAATCGCCTTCCAATATGGATTAAGTTCACAAGTCAAGACCCCACTGTATTTTTTTCTATATGCCTCAAAATCTCTAGCTTGCTCCAGAGGCATCTGAGAATAAAGTTCAGCTAAATCTACACTTATTTATGATCTCAACACTATCATCCTTTCATCATCCTTAATCTCAAAGTCCCAGCACACTTTTCAAATGAAATCAGGAAAGATTCAGGGCAATCTTCTTTCCTATATTGGGGAAATTTCTTTAGATTGATTATTGAGCAATTTCCCTCACAGTTGTTGTTATTATTATTATTATTATTTTACAGATGTGAACAGATCAACAGCATGCTAACAAAAACAAACAAACAAACAAACAAGCAAATCAACCAACCAACCCACCCTGACTTCCAACAGACTAAAAAGAGAGGGAAAAGAACACTCAGGAGGGAGGTGGGGCTCTCTTTAATTCATAGGTGGGGAAGGAACAATTGGTCAGTGTTAAATAGATTGACAGTCGCCTCAGCCCGGAGAGGCCCCTCCTAGTCACTCCAATTGCAGTCAGCATGTAAGGTTGCAAATGAAACACCAACGTTTCGTGCTTGAACCTCAGACATGCTCTCACAGTCAGATCCTATCTGAAGGCAGATGTGTGTGTGTGATCCCAAGTTATCCTTCTAGAAGGGCAAACCTTTCGGTGCTCGAGAAGCCTTTCAGTGAGTAAATGCAAACAAAACAAAACAGAACAAAAAAGCACAGCTAATTTGCCAAAAGCACATTGAGGCAATCTTATGTGAGAATAAACAGTCTTTACCTTTTAAGGGAGATTGGGAGATTCCAGTGAAGTGTTCGTTGGGAGCCCTCGTTTCTCAAACATGGGAACAAGAGCCAATTCACATGAGGTCAGCTGTAATTATAGGCTGTTCAAAATGTTTCTTTCTATGTTGCCTCGACACATTTCATCCTAGCCATCAGCTGTTATCGTGGAAGTCGCCCAACTTACTGCCTGTTGCCCTTAAGTCTGTCCCAGGCAGGTGAGGAACACACAGTTTTTGACTGCACAGCGAGAGCCTCTAGGAAAGGAAGTTGGCCAGTGCAGATGAAGCCAAGTCTATTCCTCTGAATGCCCGTCATTCTCTCTCCCTCCCTCCCTCTGCCCCCCAAAATAGCAAGAGGCAGCTTTTGGACCGTTATCAGGGTCTTGAGTTCTTATTGGGGTGGCATCGAAGCCTTGGCGTGAGTAAAAGAGGCAGAATCACCAGAGTTCTGAGTTCGGTTCTTTTCCCCCAAACCAGGTAAGAGAGAGAGAGAGAGAGAAAGAGAGAGAGAGAGATTGAGAGAGATTGAGAGAGAGAGATTGAGCTTGATTCTAATTTGTGACTAATTGCCAAGGGGCTGCAGAAGAAGTGTCCGGTCATTCCATCTTCCTGTTGATAGCCCAGTCTCCCTCAACCTTTTGCCTTCCAGATGTAGTGGACTACAGCCTCCATCAGCGAGCTGTTCAAAGATGATGGGGGCTGTAGTCCTGCAGATCTGGAAGGGATCAAGCTGGGGAAGAGTGCTAGAGAGAGAGAGAGAGCAGGCGTTCTCTCAGAGGGCAAAACCCCACAGGGCGCAGGGGGGGAACCTCGGATCATGCGAACCAAGCTGCCAGCCTGCGTGGGATCATCTAGATCCGGGACGGGCAGAAAGTAGACAAGAATCTACTGGGGGAGGTCCAAGTCGGATTTTACAGCCGTTCAGCCGGTTTCTTTGACTTCTCATTGTCTCAGTGCAACAGCAACCGTGAAGAGGCCCTTTCTCAACCCGCTCTTGGAGAATAAAAGGCTTTAGGAGGAAACTGTAAGTGACTTTTTGGGCACTCAGGCTGGTGCTGGAAAGAAAGACGCCAGCTGGTGTCTTTCTTCTTTGCTCTTCCTTCTTTCCTCCCCGTGTGTCCAGCTGCTTTTCCCCTGTGGGTCTCGTTCCGGATCTTAAGGCTTGGAGGAAAACAGCCATGGGGGGGTATCTGGGGGTGAGCAACCCACGGAATGCAGTGGTAACAACACTGTCAAGACTATTTGAAATAAGCATGTATGTGTGTGTATGTATCCAGGTCCCCCCCTGTTTTGCAGAAGATATGAAGCACCGAGGTGGAACGTCTTGGGGGCAAATGTGGGGAGAAGCAGCTGTTTGATTTCATCAGGTGTGAGATTTCTGAACGCTTGCACACCCGTCTCTTCCCATCTTCCAGCTGGTGCTGGGTTTTGCTGCCTCACCCTGCCACGGTGTGCCGGGGGTATTACGCACACAGGCGGAAGGCTTGGGGGAAATCTCCATTGTTTCTCTCAATCCCGATTTGAATTCTGGAATGCGGGGCTAGGAGGGGACGCCTCGCCTGTCCTCTTCTCCTCCCGAAGGGGCTTTCTTACACAAACACACACTTTCATATTTTCATCACACATGCAGGCATCTACCTTTTTTGTAAAGTGAAGCCCCTTGAAAAGAAACAAGGTGACCACCTTGGTTTTCTGGCCAGTGTTTTCTACTCTGTGGCTGTGGTGCGTAGGGCAGTATTTCCTTAATACTGTAAGGAAAGCACAAGAAGGAAGAGCCTGTTTTTTCAGCATCATCTCCTTTCTTTTTTTTAATCTAATCCCCTTGAGGGCACATGGTGTTCTCACTCCTCCTCTGACTAAGCATGGACTTTTTAATGTCCCATTGTTCTAAGTCCGGCCAATTAACGCATTGTCCCTCTGTGTCGCTCGCTGCAGAAACCCTTCTAAATATATATCCTTGGAATGGTTTGCTCGGCATAGAGATAAAGCTGTTTGTTCTGCCTCTGAAAGGGGAAATTTTGCATTCAGAGAGGTGGGGTTAGTGAAAATACAGAGAGCTCGGCCACGGGGTGGGGGGGGAAAAGCTTTGTTCGGAGGAAAACCTGCTTGGCCTGACCTTCGGAGATAAGGGCGCTCCTTGTGCACGCATGGGCTTGTGCGTTGTGCCCACAGGCGCGCTATTTGAGACCGCCTGAGAAGGAGGAAGCTGGTGGAAACAATGAGGACCCTCAGCCAGGAAGTCGCGTCAGAAGCCCTCAAACCACAGGGAACTAGCTGGCAGCAGAGATATGGGCACCAGCGTCCTCGGCTGCTGGCAACAGCCGCGCTCTCCCTTGTGTGGAAGAGTGACTTGGGCCAAACGGTTGGGCAGCCAACAGGCATTTCTTGCTCCAAAGCTTGGTTCAAAAACAACACACACCCAACGGCTTCTCTGGGTGTTGTTTTCGCTGCATTTTCTTGGAAGCCAGCGCTTGCTTAACCTGATTGAGGCATTTTTAAAAATTAATTCTATGTTATGCACAGGAATCTTCCTTTTCTGGATGCAGCCAACTCTGAGCGGGCATCTCGACTGGAGGGCGAGGGCCAGGAGCCCCACCAGAACTTCCCCCGTGCTCAGCGCCCAGTCTCCCAGGCCCTGTTAAGGGAGCTTCTGTTCTTTGCTTCTTGCTGGAAACAGCCGTTGGGCTTGATGAGGTTCAGTGTCTAGAGATGACGGGGATGCAGCAGGATAGACGCCAGCAAAAGGAGGTGGGGCCCGTTGCAGGTTGGGAAGGAAAACGGGTCTGGTAAACATTCCAGCCAGAGACACAAAACCAGGCCAAAATTGCTTACAGGACTTCAAAAGAACTGAATATCAACGTAGGTCACAAATCATGGCATGTGGGCAAGACAACCTTACACCAGACTCTAGCAGGAGTGTTTCACTATGTGATCAAAGGTATACATCTTTAGACATATGACAGGGTGTACATATTTCTTTTGCCTTTCCCCCTTTGATTTTGCCTGATTCTCTTACAGCCTTAGGGTTGTGTGTTACGACCCGAGTGGGTCTCATCTCTCCAGTTTCAGAGGGGCTGGGGACCCTCTTCATTTTTGTTTTGTTTGCACCATAGGGCGCTGATCCTATTTGAGGGACAGGAGCTCATCCCCTTAGATACACTTCCTGCAAAGTGCGGGCTGAAACCTGAAGCGGATTCATAACCACGCCGCACTTGGAGTTCATCAGCCTTGGTTGTTTTGAAGTGTTATGTACACTACAGATGGCGAAAATAAGTGCATATGACATGAGTAGGCATTCATTACGCTCTCAACTTGATTGGTGGGTAGAACGTCACTCTCTCGGCTCCAGTCCCACCGATTAGACTCTTAGGATACCGAATTCTGGGACAGCAGCGTCTTTCCAAAGCCAGTTGCCTTCAGTCTCATTTCAGGAGATCCTTGGCCTAATTTCAAGATTCCGTATATCCCATATGTATATGATACAGACCTTTTAAAAAAAAGCAAATTAGAGATTGAAAGTAGCCAGAACAAGAGAACAACATAGGAAATTTTCTTTTAACAATGAGTTAAAAGTAAATCCAAACAACAAGGCTTCTATCCTTGTTGTTGTTTAGTCGTTAAGTCATGTCCGACTTTTCGTGACCGCATGGACCAGAGCATGCCAGGCCCTCCTGTCTTCCACTGCCTCCCGGAGTTGGGTCAGATTCATGTTGGTCGCTTCGATGACCCTGTCCAACCATCTCATCCTCTGTCGTCCCCTTCTCCTCTTGCCTTCACACTTTCCTAACATCAGGGTCTTTTCCAGGGAGTCTTCTCTTCTCATGAGATGGCCGAAGTACTGGAGCCTCAGCTTCAGGATCTGAAGGCTTCTATACCCAGCACTTGAAACTATCCATGACAAAATATGTTTCTGGGCTGCTAAAATAAGTGATTTCGATCTTGGTCAGTGGTGCTTCCGTAGTGGTTCTCTTCACGAAAGAGACTTGAGACCACCATCAAAGCAAGCCAGCTATTTCTGGCCGTGTACAGCCAAGGAGCCAGTGTGGTGAAGCAGAGGGCTGGGTGATGTCTTAGGATCCCGGAGACCCAGGTTCGAACCCCTGCTTTGCCGTAAAAACTCACTGGGGGAATACCAATGACTAATTGCTCCTCGAAGACTGGGTATAACTTGAAACCCCTAATAGGGGATACCTCTTAGAGACTTCATGGCATGTAATGACAATCATCAAGGAAGTATAGCTGAAGTGACCTGCCAGATTCTTTGCGTGACTTTCAGTGTGGCCAGAGGCTGGAAATGCAACCTTTGGACTATGATTCCCATGAGGCTGGCAGAGAGTTTCTGGGAGTTGTAGTCCAGAATTAACTTTTCCAAGCAAGCTGTGGTTTGAACCCAGCTCTACCATTTAATGTTCTTCACGGGGTCATTTCGAAGAACATTGAGGCCAGGTGCTGTGCCGGGAACTGCTGACAGAAAGGAGTCACTGATGTGAAAAGACCGGCGCATCATCCTCGGGCTGCAGCTGTCTCATAAGCCGGGCCCTTTTACCTCCTCTCTGCTTAATTCCTCTTGTAGGTGTCTTATTTGCTGTTGCATTCAGTTGAGGCTCTCATCATTATAAAATTCTCATTAAGGGAACATCACTCACTCAGCCCCCCTCCAAACTCACAATTAATGGGAAACCGCAGCTTTGCCTCCCCTCATTTGTTATGTGGTTTTGTTTAGAGAAATCTTCTTCTCTGGAGGATTACATCACTGGAAAGCCCTGGGAGGGAGACGGCCTTTTGCATAAGAGCGCTGCTTCCTCTCTGCTTTCGGGTCTCACTCACTGCCTGGTCACACGGCAGTCAAAAGGCGCCCCGATTGCGCTGAGCCGCATGTGACTGTGCGCATTGCCGGAAGGTCCAGGGAAAGTAAAAGTGGAAACTTTGGCCCTGGGAAAAACCAGTCTTGTGTGGCTGGTCTTTGACCATAATAAAGTTTTATCTACCTATCGGTCTTGTGACGGCATCTTCTCATTGGCAGGGGTTGCTTTGGAAGAGGCCTGGGTTACGACCAAAGGGAGCATTTCTGCACCATGCCAGGGGTTTCTTGTTTTCGCTGGTGGGATCCCCGTTAACCGCCATGAGATCCCTCTCCAGGGGTGAATGCTCTTTGCTTCTTTATGTGGAGGGCACATAAAACAGACTCTTCGGAGAAACTGACAAAGGCTGAGAAATCGCTCTTAGCCTCAGGTGTATGGTTGGAAAGATCAGGCACATCAGGAAAAAATAAAGGGGTGGAGAGGAGATTCCTGGAGGTAAGTTGCAATGTGGTTATTGATGATCTTTCCTCTATCAAGGAAGATCAAAGGGAGTCCTTGGCCAGTTCAGGCTCCCAGCTGCTGAAATGGTCTTCCTAGGTGGGAATGGGGTGTTTGGCCCCTCCATAGGCGGTGGTTTGCTAACCAGTGTGTGTGTGGGGGTCTCTTCTCAAGAGGTGAAACTCATGAGGACCCATATCTGAGTCCACAGGTATGCAAGGAGTGCAAGCTGGCACCCAATGGGATCTGTTTGCCCTCCTACGTGTTAAAGGAGAGGAAGAGCACTTCAGGGAGGTGAGTGGAGAAGGAGCTCAGATATCTAGAGCAGGGATTCCCAACCTTGGTTCCCCCGAGGTTCCTGGACTGCAGCTCCCAGAAATCCTGGCCATCACCGCTACTGGTAAAAGCTTTGGGGAGTTTTAGTCCAAGAACCTCTGGAGGCTCCCGATGGGGAACCGCTGCTCTAAAGGTTGACTCCCAGTTTAGGGTGGTGTCAGCCTCACCTGCATCACCTTTGTGAGGATGACAAGACAGGGTGATTGAACAATGCACTGTGAGCAAGTGGCTGTCTAGTATGAGTGAACAGTCAAGGGTTGATGAACTCTATGTAAAATCGTACTTCTCATTGGCTAATATGCAGACTTAACTTAAGAGAGATGGAAAATCTCAACTGCTAATATCACGACAGCAGAAAGTTTCCCATGCAAAGTAAAGAGGCTTTGGGGAAAATCTTTCTTTCTTTCTTTCTTTCTTTCTTTCTTTCTTTCTTTCTTTCTTTCTTTTTTCTTTCTTTCTTTCTTTCTTTCTTTCTTTCTTTCTTTCTTTCTTTCTTTCTTTCTTTCTTTCTTTCTTTCTTTCTTTCTTTCTCTCTCCTTCTCTCCTTCTCTCCTTTTCTTTCTAATCAAAATGAAAAAGTCTTCTCATTTTTTTTTCCAAAAAGTGAACTTTTCATTGTCTACTGAGTGAGGAAATGCCAAGTAACGCAAACCACTTGCGTTCATTACCAAAAGCTGACAGGTTTCTGTGCAGAGATCTGAAACCTTGTGAGCCTAAGTAGGTGTGCTCTACTTTCAGTTCTGACTCTGAATGCTGTTTTGTATGTTGCTGTACTAGACAACATGTGCTGTTTCTCCTTTGGATGAGTGTTCAAAGGAATTCCTCATTTAAAAGACTGTATTGGCCCTAACGAATTCAGCAGTCATGCCATCTGAATTACTTTCTGGTGTGGCAAAGATTAGATCTCATGAAACTCAGGCTGCTGCACTGTGACGGATGGAAGACATGCGAGGGGGATTTTTACTGATTTCCCTCTCCATCTCTGAGATATTGAATATTTGTTAGGAAGTGTGACTTTTAAAAAAGATGGTGAGAATTCTGTGCATTAAAACACAGTGTTTGTGGCCACTTATTAGAATGTGTGCATTTGCACATAAATACATGCACCTGTTCTTTAGCAGTCCTTGATGTGATCATGCTACGGATGGACAGATTATGCATGAAATTCTTCATGCTTGTCCATTTCAGCTGTAATGATGACACCTCAGTGAGAATTTTTTCACTGAGATTTCTGTCTCTAGCAGGATCCCAGGACAAGAAATTCTCATTTTCCTCGCAGTGTCTCTGTGCAAAATCATTGTCCTTTCTGGTTGAAAAGCAAAACACACACACATTTCACAAACACAAAATAAAGAGTTTGTTGCTGTTTTAAAAAGAAAGTCAGGAAAAAAGGAGGGGAAGGACTGAAGATCAACAATGAAGCAGGAGATAGTTGTCAATTTAGTTCTGTTTGCTAACGATGCCAAACCCATCTGAGAGTATGGTGTTTTCTTCATCAGGGACAACTATAAATAGGAGAAAATACAAGAGATCTAAAATTAACAATTCAAGAGATATTTCTAAAAAGGTATGCCACACCAGGAAAGTTCAAAAACGTTACAGTGGTGTTGGCATATTGGTTTAAAATTAGAGAACATCCGTATTTATTGACACCCAAAGTTGCAGAATAGGCTGTTGAAAAGTGATAAAAGGCCAACTCCCTTGTGGTGGGAAAAGACAGGAAAAGAGGCGGGGAAAATAGCGACATGGCTGTCACAGCTGTTCATCTCAAAAGTACTGCTTCCCCCCCCCCTTCTACTTGTAGATGCTTTGATGGAGGAAAGAGTAACCTAAAATGTGCTGAATACTATTAAGCAACACATTTGTGCACTGAGAATATTTTCTTCTCCATCTCTTTGTTTTGCTGATTTCCCAAAAAGACACAAACAACCTATCGAGGGCTTCTGACTATTAAAGAGTCGATAAAACTCTTGTCGTTTTGCACAGCTTTCATTATTTGCACCAAAATAACTCTTGCAGATGTGAAAATGCTCCTTAAGACTGACAAAAAAAAAATCTTGGCCTTTCAAAGATGAGCTAAAAAGGGTGGTTTCTCCTTCTTGCAGACAAGAAGATTTACAGGATTTACACTTCTAGTTAATAAGGCTTGAGGAGCCATTAGAAATTGGCTTAGAGCCTGTCCACACTGGCATAAAGTCATGGTATATGGTTCCCGGATAGCACTGTTCAGCATGGGGAAAAAAGAGACCCCATCTGCTTGTATTTCTACTTACAATGATCCATTCTTCTCTTTTAAGTGCTGTCCCGTATCTTTCCGGCACAGAGCTAGGGCATGCAATCTTTTTAGGACGATTCGTTGTGATGCAAGATAGCGCTTTGTTCTGTCTTTGCAGGCAGGTACGGAGAGTTAAAATAGATTGTGCTGAAGACAAGGACCTTTTAGACACCGTCTGGATTGGACCAAATTTCAGAGCGTGGAGAGGCTTTTTATCACACTCCTACTGAATCCAGTCATTCGAGACAAGAATGCTTTCCCCATGTCAGACTGAAACTTTACATTTCCCATCAGAGTTAGTAAAGACTTCTGCTTTGATTCACTGTTTGCAGGAACTGGGGTGAAAGGCAGAACAAATAGTAATGATTCCTTTTCTCTTCCTCTCTACTCTTCCATTCCATGCTTTTTAAAAAATATAATAGCTCAAGGAAGCGGTATATTTTTCCCAGTGTCTCTCCTGCGACTCCACACCAGAGAGACCACTGGCTATAAGACTGCATTGCAAATGAATCTTATGTGGGTGCTCCATGCCTATGAGTCAATGCTGACGTCTACCAGACCCAAGTAAAATTTTCAAGGTATGCAAGATATTTAAGGAGTGGTTTTACCAGGGCCACCCCTCACTCAATTTCCATGCCTTGAACCCGAATCTCCTAATCCCTATCTCTTGCTATACTAGGCTGGCTCCCCAAAATTAGTACTGTATTAGATTGTCTCATTTTGCTGTTACCCTCCTTGTTTGCCAAAATGTTGCATCCAGTACGGCCTCAAGGACAGGAGATAACGCCGGCTCCTCCTGAGTGCTACACAATTAGGCCGCTGTCAGCTGTAAAATGAACACAGAAGCCTTGAGAAATTCCCCTAATTTGTTGCCAGATGCAGGCGGACATTTCTGTGGGTTGTTTCTCTAGAAAGTGGGAGACGGGGCTCGCTTTCTGAGTCATATTGGCTGCGCTCGAATTCTGACATTACCAGCCTGTCATCTTCCGGGGGTCTGGACTACAACAACATGCTGCCGGAGGATAATGGGAGTTGTAATACAGGAATTGTGGAGAAGTAGGAGGAATGTCATATATAAATTGGGGATTTGATTCATTTGTTTTAAAATCTGATTTTATTTGCTGGCTGTGATATGCCTGTGGGCACCCCCCACAGAATGATGGAAAAGCAACAAAGTGCAAATAAATTGAGACAATACCTTCCTCGTGCTTGTTTTGCTTCAACATGTGTGTTACCTTCTCTTTTTGCATATTCCCATAGCATCAGCATTTGCCATTTAATGCATGCTTTGCAGTATAGATTCAGACCGAAACTGGGGGAATGGCTTTTTTGGCTGTGTTGTATCGACCCACAATTTCCTTAAGTCCTTTGTCAGCAGCTGTCTGAGGTTGGTGGATGTGTCCCGTTCTGTATATGTGGTTGCATGTGTTTCTTGCCTACTCTTTTGTTTTCTTCTATTTTTAAAGAGCTAAGGACTCAGTTTTAACCACACATGCGTCTTGCCTGTAAGTTACATCAGACCTTTGCAGCCTGTATGGTCATCTGGTGTAGAGCGCGGCTTGGAAATTGAAACCACCATCTCACTCAATGTGTGAATCACTCAATGCATCCCAGATCAAGACAGCCCCATGTCCTGCTGGCGTATAGATTGTGATGACATGGTGGTGGTGGGGGAAATGAACCAGTTTTCCCGATGCAATCTTTGCTGCATTTTGCAGGTTCCTGGGGATTCAGGAAGCTTTCCTGTCAACCAAAGGCACGTTCATTCCAAAACCGTTAGGTCAAAGAGAAGGACACAGTGTGATACAAGCTGCTCTACCCTTCATTTCTACAAAGAGCATCCGGGACGCACAATCTTGTTGGGCGTTCATAAAAACAGGTCTCCAGTTGAAATTCAGGAGGAAACACAAAGTAACAGAAGTCTGAAAAACACTGGCTTACCTGCTCAGATCTCTAGATGGCATAGAATGCAGATTTGAGGATAACACATAGAATGTAACAGATTTTGCATATCTAGAAGCTGCTTCCTGTTCACTTAAATTTGGCTTTTAAAGTTTGCTTTAGGTCTGTTTTTGAAGAAAGTCTTCAGTCTGTCATTGAATACTGTTCTTAGCCTATTTCATTGACAGTAGGATCTCCCTATCTGCTTGATCGGCACCCACAGGTTCACTTATCTGTTGGCTGAAAATATTAAAATTTTAAAACTCAGAAATACGTATTTATATATATTTTCACAGTGTATTCACCCGAGCTAGTCACTAGATGGAGCCAGATAAAATGCTATGCATAGCCTTTGCTATTTCTGCCTTTTTCGGCATGCGCTGGGTCTTGGAACCGATTCCCAGCAGATATCACGGTCCTGCTATACATGAAGGGAGATCCACTGTGCAAGAAAGCAATAAACAAACGAACGAATGAATTTAGATATAAATAAATACGTACTGCAATTTGTTTGCATGGAAACTATTACATCCCTAGCATGCTTCAGGGTCTGAATTGGCTCTCGCGTTGGACGTCATTGACGATGGATCGCAGCAATGCCATAAAATGGTTATCTTTCATTCTGTCTTCTGTTGCCTGTTTTGACACCTGCTTTGTTTCCATTCTTATAATGG